TGTCTCCTAGTCTTAGATCAGTATCAAAAGGAATATTTATGAGAGGAACTAAATGAAAGATTTATTAAAATCTTGATTCTCATAATGGACTAACTTTGAACACAAAGATATGTTTTATTATTATTTATATTCATGTCATTATCATTAATACTAGCTCTACACTGATATTCTCCAGCATCAGAGAGTTGAACATTAGTGATATTCAATATTGTTACCAGGCTCTTACTGTCACTACTAATCATCAGTTCTGTACCCCTATTACTAATATCAGTGCTATACTGATACCAGTAATGACTAATGAATGATGTATCAGGACCTATCCCAGTATTAAGACTGATAGTACAGGTCAGTAGTACTGAAGTGTTAATGGCCAGTAGCACTGAAGAGTTAATGAAACTGACTATTGAAGTAGGTAATACAGTCACTGAATTGATGTAAGTAGCTACAACATAAGAATGTATATTACAATCATTATTCCTGGATTCTTACCTTTCACTCTAAGAGTAATGACCTGTGATTGAGTACTACAGTCAGAAGGATTAGTCTCAATCATTATTGTACAAGTATATTGTGTATTATTATGTGATGGTAGTATTGATGATATCATTAGTGTATTATTGTTACTAGAACCATTAGTAAGTAGCCAGGATACTGATACTCCAGTAGGTACTGGTCCAGTGATACAATCAATTGAATAATACTGACCAAGTGATAGTTCCTCTGTTACTGATGGTAGTGTCTCATTAACTGAATAAAGAATGTCATTAGCAATCAATACACTGTTGTCTAATGCATTACCTGTTACACATACACTGATACTTTCAGCAGTTACATTAGAATCAATCCCAGCATTACAATGATATACCCCAGCATCAGATACTTGTATTGAATTAATTGTTAGTGTTGAAATAAAGTCAGTGCCATCATCCCTCATTAATGAACTATATTGTGTAACATTAGTCATATTATGATACCAAATTACAGTGGGTTCTACACCAGGACCAACTGCAGTATTAAGAATAATGATGCAATTAATTTTTAATGTAGAATTGACTAGGAATGATAACTGAGAAGACATGTTGATTGAGCTCACATATGTTCCTAATTTGTTAAAATACACAATAATGTTAATTTGATGGTTAAATACTTTTAGTATCAATGGTAATTGTCTTATTGTCTGGTAAACAAGCCAGTGGGTTGGTGTCCACTTCAGTTGTACAGGTATATTCAGTGTTATCAAGTGATGGTACCACATTAGGTAGTATTAATGTATTATTGTTACTGAGAATAGCACCATCTTGATCAATCCAGCTTATGGTAATTCCATTGAGTGATGAGAGAGTCACACACTGCATTGTTGCATTATATCCCAGTAATAGGTCTGTGTAACTATCAGTGTTTTGATTGAAGGGAACTAGAAAAGAAACATTATATTAGAATGAAATTGCTATATGTATATATATATTATATATAAATGCATACCTTTTAAACACAAAGGTTTTGAATCAGACTTTACTATATTTGATCCATTAATTGATGCATTACAAGTGTATACTCCAGCATCAGTTGGTGAAACCTGTGTTAATGTCAGTGTACTATTAAATGTTAATAATGAATCACTAGTAATGATATCATCTGTTGTTATTGGTTCGTCATCTTTAAACCAGTTCACTACCAGTGAAGAGACATCAGGACCAATAGCATTAGTGAGACTAATAGTACACACTATTGATACATTGTCACCAATAACATAAGATGATAATGATTGTACAGTAACAAATGAGACACTGGTATCTGTAATAAACATTAATAACTAATGTATACCATGAATCAACTAACCTAATACACTAATAGTAATAGACTCTGTCAAACTCATAGCCAGTAAATCTGATGATACTTCACAAGTGAATGTGTTGTTATTATGAGAGAGCATCACTGGGTCAATAATCAGTTCATTACTATCACTATTGGTTGATGGTGGATCCCATTGTACTTCACTGCCAGGGATGGAGGGCACTGTAGTACAGTTAATACTGACACTACTACCAACAGTGAGGTTAGTGTATTGACCAATAATAGTAATATTTGGAACTAAATAGGAGAGAATGAATCAATACTGTAAAGGATAATTTTTACTTTTCACATATAAAAAGGTGCTTTCTAAATCACAAGTATAGTTTCCAGTATCATTACTCCTCACTTCTTGTATAGTCAGTGTACCACTAGTAGCATTGATATTGTAATGAGTATCATTACTGATTTCAGTTCCATTCAGTTCCCACTGTACTGTATCATTTTCATCTGGTGTGCATTGAAAGGTTACACATTCACCAATATATACTTCAATGAAGCCTTCAGTTTCATCATTTGACAAACTGCATGTATCTACTAGATCTTGATCTACCACAAAATTATACTATCAAGCTCTACTCTTCATACACTGTGTTGCTTACTTTCAGCACTTGCAAAGGATATTCCAAAAACTAACACAAAAGAGAAGAACCAAACCTCCATTGTGCCAAAAAATAAAATTGTGCAGTGCACAGCTTGAATTTAAAGCGATTCCATAAACTAAAGCTCCACCTCAAATGCAATAATACTGTTAGCAACACAAATCAGTATAGTATTACTAAGGATGTATGTACCTGATGCACTGGATGCTATCTGTGATGAGTCACTGTGTCTCTTGGTCCAACAACCACATCCATACACACCAGCCTATTAATAATTATAATAATAATGGTAACAGTGAAAGTGTCACCCATGTACTTGTATCAATAAGTAAAAGCAGTGTGAATTTTCTAATACTATACCATTCAAGCACTGACATTGTACATTTCAAAATACAATGCAAGGCTTGTGTGTAAATAACTTGCAGCTTTCAATGCATTAAAGAACCAAATGTTAAGAAACATCAGCACTATACATGCAAGTTGTATTATAAGTCACTCTTATGATTAATAATAAGCAAGCTAATCATATTAAGCTGTAATTGAATCTTTAGCAACAACAATACTCATCTTTAGTTATTAGTCATTACTTGTCCTATTCTTCCAGTGTGTTTCAATGATATTCCTCCACTAGATACACCAGCTCCTATCAATCCATTAGTATCAATACAAACAGCACCAACTGTATCCAGTTTACTCTAACACATCAATAAACAACAACTTTAATGGATACACTTACATCAAAGAAAATAAAAAACACACAGTACACATGTACCTACATGTATTAGGCTAGCGTTTAAAGCTATAAATGGTCTAACTTTAAAACAGCTGTTATCATGAAGATTAATCTAGGCTACTATAGCTACAGTACACACACACACATGTACATTGTATTGTATATGCACACTGCTAACTTGACTATCATTGACTTTTCTTCTTTTAGCAGCACATTGTTCACTTCCTTCCTTTGCATCTTCACTTCTCAATCTCTCAATATGATCCAAATATACCTCCTTTGCTTTCTCTACTACTACTGCTAATAATAGAATTGTCAAAAGTTCCCCCCACTATTGCATAAAAAATACCTCCAGTACACTAATAGCTACAGTAATTGCTTCACTAACATCACAACCATCTTTTAACTTCACCATAGCCTAAAAACACAAGTACAAGAGTGAATGACAAAAATAAAAAAGAGATCATGTTAATAGTACTGTATAATTGAGATAAATCAATTAATACACAATACCGTATTTAATGAGAAATCAGCAGATGGTGTTTACAGCTAAATGATGTTATTTTATTTGATGTAAGGAAGAGGTGGAATGTTTGTATTATTGAGATATCCCAATCTACATGTGTATATTCAAGCAAATGAAAATGTTATTGTAAAACAGTCTCAAATCAGTAAACAAGATAATTACATAGGATCTTTTTATCAGTTTAAAAGTATTTAATACAACAATTATGTAAAATAATGACAAAGCTAATGTCAAGATCTAAATCTACCTGATGACAATACATAACTAAACTTAGTCTAGCTAATTTAATTTGTTCAAATGTAACGTTTGAAATTGTCATATTGGGACATGTCTTCAGCAAAATCTGCAATTATTTCATGACAATAAATGTACTGATCCTAAAATATAAAATATATTTCTAATTCTAGAAGTATTTCATTTATATTTTACCAAACAATCAACCAGTCCTGGTCTCTGGCTCCTTGCTTTTCTAATAAATTGAAATATATCAGACACTCCTTCAGTTTTAGCTCTTTCTATTTGAGAATAAGCTGTCAGAAACGTACCACTACAACCAACACCATCACTATGATATGATGAAATAATAATACTTTTATTTCTTATTATTTATCATTTTCCTTACTTGCAGATCACCACAATAGGTTTATTACCAGTCTTGCTTTGATTCTTAACAACAGATTCAAAGAGATTAACAAGAGATGAGCCAGGTTTTGGTCTACTGGCATCAGCTGGCCACTCTTGGTAATGAAACAGACAGCATTGCTTTGACGAACCACTTTCATCCTTAATAATTATAAAGATTAAAATCATAAATATTTTAATTCATACTCCTGTTTTAATTTCCAGTGAATATGCATTAAATCCAA